AGGCTCCACCTGGCATGCACACTTTCAGGATTATATGTGCTAATCTGATATTTAACCAAAATATCAATTGTGCTTTCAACTGTTTGTCCTCTTTCTAGATCAAAGACTCTACATGGAAATCTAAACTTTTAAGATCAATCCTTGCAGTGTCTATGTTTGATTTCATTTTCCCTTCACATTGAACTACTTTAGTGTTTTCAGTGTTTCCTTGATCTTAGATGGGAAGTATGCCATGATATAAGAAGTTTCTTGCAGTGCCAAACTGATGTACATCAGCAAATCAAAAATATCTTGTGATATAAATATGGCCAATACTGATTTTAGTAGTGTAAGTTCTTTCCTTAATTTAGATGCTTTGCCATAAATTTCTGTATGTTTCCTTACAGTTACTTCAATGATTTGGTTCTTATGTATCACCAGTGGTTGCCACATTCTAATCACTGTACTTAATGCTCATGCTCGGTGACTAATCCATCTTGTTCTGTAAACATTTCTTGGAGATAAAAATTTGCTGTTTAATGTATCACAGGTATTTTTCAGTGAAAATTTTTATATAGCCCACAATAACTCAGACATTTGTGGAACCAGTCTTGATTTTTTTTATGCATCTTTCAGTGACAGTTTGAATCTGTGTGCCATGCAATGGATACCAACAGTCGCTGGTAGAAACTTCAAGAATTTCTGATATTTTCCATTTCAAACGCTGAAATTCACAGAAGTTCCAACAGCCACAAATGAGACTATGCCTGACAAATCATCCATTTGTAAATATTTTTTCAAACTGGTACACAAACGATCAAAAAATGTGGTCTGCATCAGGATTTTCCACATTGCACACACATAAAAATAACAGTGTGAGGTTCATAATCTTTCAAGTATTGTACATACACAATAAAGAAACATCTGTACTACCATCACATAATACAGAAAAAAATATGCTGTTTTGAATATCCTTTTCCAAAGCTACATTCAAATCATCAGCAATTAATTTCGCAAACCCTGCATAAGCTTTATTAGATGAATACCTTGATATAATACTGGCACACTGAGATCCACCACACCTTTCTAGATGCTGAAGATCACCAGTGAAAACTTTATATGACTGATTGCATTTTGAATGTAGTCACAAATCTATTGACAATCAGTTCTTTGTTGACTTCATCTAGTTTTGAAGCCGATTTAACTTTAGGCTAATTTTCAGATGGAGTCATTTTTGACAAAGCTTCAGCCTCACAGCACCTGTGCAAATCACTGGATTGATGGATTTTGATGACTTGTAGCTTCATAGTTGTTACCTTGATAAAAGTATCACTGTATTGCCCTACATGGCCAACGTTATTGTAATATGTAGGAACACCATATTTTATTTTGTTCAGTTTCAAGCCACGGTCTGCCTGTCTTCCAGTTAGTCTGAAACTTTTGTTCTCATTTACCAAGTTCATAATCTATTAGACTAGCTGATGAAAATACTTTGCTTGGCCTCCCATGCTTGCCCTTGGATATTTTCTCAGATATGGGCATGGATTCTGCTCCAGGAATAACCTCAGACTGAGCTAAAATTAATAAATTGTATTGGGTAGATACAGTTCAACATGAGGTACTGCAGGTAATAAATTCAAGATTTAAACAAATTAGCCTACATATTGCACCAAATCAAAATTGGTTCATATTATGAATGTGATAGAAAACTACTATTAGGCCTATAGATTTCTTTTTTTACCAACAACAGAAGAGGAATCTTCTTTAATTTCATACTCTACACTGACATTTGCACTCTGTCAATAGGCCTATATACTGGTGAATCTTTTTTCACAACTTTCAGATCTATTATTTTATAAGAGTTATCTGATGTCTTAGACATTCATGCAAAAGCCAATGTTGCTACTTTCCAGGCCTTCTTCACTCCCACTATCTGAATCAGTGTCAGTAGGCATGTCAGTGGATTTTGCCTCAGGCTTAGCAGTTTTTGATCTAAGGGGGCTAGGATTGTCTTCTGATTTCCCTTTGTAAACCCAAAATTCAGAAGATTCACGTTGATAACAACAGAATTAGAATCAGCTCAAATTCACTAGACTTCATGACTCTGCTTGCTACTTATCTGTCACTTTATGTGCTACATCACAGTGTAGTGAATACTTAAATAGCAATCTGCAGTGGAATATATATTGTTTGTAACTATATTGTTCCTTACAGAAAGTTGAAGTGATAGTTTAATTACAGACACTTTAAAGATATTACTTAAACATTACATTATTGATTACAGCTCTATTTTTTTGTTCACACAGTATATTAAAAAGGAAGCCACAGCTGGTAAGTATGTTGTGTAGTTAAGTATAAAAAATATATGTCATTTTTATTGTTGAACTTCAAATGAAAGAAAAAAGAGCAGAAACATTTAAGGATATTGTTCAACAATGCCATACAAATGAGATTCCAAAAGCAATTTAACATATCTGGAAATAAAATAACCAAACACAGTCTATTATAAGAAAAAACAAATTGAGGGCAATCACAAAACTTCTCTTACTCCTGAGGTTGGAAGTGCAGATTTCAAGGGTATATTAAATGTTGGAGATTAGAAAAGGAAAAAAAAAAAGTTTATTTGAAAAACGTTTAATGAAAAAAAAACAAAAAACTTTTCTACCCTGTTTATTCATGAAGTCACATAATCCACAATAGTTACTGTTCCTATAAAATAGTGAAGTTATAGACAGGGAAATTCACAAAGAATATAAAGACAAAACCATCATCTTGTTTGAAAATGGACAGAATAACATTTCCCCAAAATGAAATAGACACAAAAGCTCAGAAAATTAACATGGGTTGGCCCACACACTGATGCTAGATCATGATGCCAGTTTTAAAAGATGACAAATGTCAAATTAAACCACTTATATATACTAGAATATATATATATATATATATATATATATATATACACTAAAATTTTCTGATAATTAGACAACAGGATCCAGGAAAAACCAGTTAATCAAATGAACCAAAAACCTCTGCAAGTACTTATAGAGCAATGAAATACAAAACAACAGAATATAAAACAGCATAAATTCTATGAAGAAAACCCATTTACCATATTTGCCACTGACAAAAATAACATTAATTTTTCTGATAAATAATAGTGTGTTGAATGTCTTACAGATTCTAAAATATGAACAATAGCAGGTTCTGTTAAGCCAAAAAGATCTTCTCCTGTGATGAAATTTGGAAAGACATTGATGGTTTTGGCTTGTCGACGCATCTCTTGAATGGGCCCTAAAACTTGCTGCCACACACCTGAAAAATAAAGAAAACATTATTGTTCTGCTTATATTTTAATAGTATTCTGTTAGTTTTACAATATCAAAAAAACTACATGTTCTCTAAAACTTGCTACCACACACCTTAAAAAGAAGAAAACACTGTCTTGCTGTTAACATTTTAATAGGAGTATTTTAGTTTTACACTGTTCACATAAAACTATGTAATCCTACTTAACATATAAGTATACATTACACATCTGATGAAGAAGTAATACTGTACCCTTTAAAGAACTAGAGTGTCTGAATAAAGGTAAAACAAAACTCAAACAACTGCATCTATTTGAAAATCATATATATTTTATATAATGCTTGCAAAACGGTGTATTAGTATATACATATATAAAACCAAATTTTTGTACCTTCTTATTTCTGCTTCTAGAAATTCAGGTCATGTTATGCTCAGTGTCTTGTGTTTAATATATTTAGTTGTGTGAGCATTTTTATAATGTTTAACCCTATAGCTACAGGTTTTCTTATGGGTAGGAGTCAGAGGGCGTATCATCACATTTGTAGAGTTACATAAAATTTTACTGAACTACAATTTTTTGAATGTTTGGCATCAAATTGTAGATTATAATTTAAGTTTTAGTATTATACATTGGTTAATTTCATAATTTAATAAATATTAAAACAAAATTCCTAAGTATCGAGTTCTGTGAGTCATGTGGTATGTTGAATGCAGCTTTGGTTCAAATTAGATGTGTTGATATTCAAATACAAAGTCTATAGTTTCTTCAAAAATAGAAACTCATAGCTAGAATATAAAATAAGAACCTCCTATCTTTTCTATTTACTGAGATATCACTATATTTAGTGAATTAAACACAATGGTCCAATCCATCTCTTATATTTTTGTAAATATTTGTTTACGTACACCCACCTCTCTCTATCAAGTGTTTATACCTAATCGAAACTAACGTGGTTTTCTCAACCTTTACAACGTGTCTAGGCTCCAAAAATAGGCTTGAAAAGAAGGGGTAAGACGAGATGGTGATTAAAAAATGACATTTTTTTTAAACCAAAATACAGCTCAGTTAGTAAGCCTGATAAATTACAGTGGAATTCTGTGGTATTGGTATAGAAATTTATAACTTTTTATTTCTTTAAAATGCATGTATAAAACATAAAAAAATTATTTTGTTTTAAATCCTCCACGTGTGAAATTTGATAAGGCTTAGCATGTAAGGTACAGCAAGTGGGTACAAATTTTGTATCAATCGTAAGTAGTAAAGATGATTGTTTTCTTTATTTACTGTTCTATGTTTTAAGAAAAATAACCAAAATTTAAGAATTTATTTGTAAATAGTAGTATATATACATATGTAATGTATTATAACCAAAAAGTGATCATATTTTACAAAATATAGGTCCACTAGAACAAAGCTAAGACCTATGCACTCTGTAAAGGCCAGTTTTATGCTATTGGATACGGTAACATGAGCTGCACACATTTGGTAGTTACCTGGAGTTTATTAGGAAGTTATGGATATTTTGCAAATGAAATTTGACATTTTTCTGATCTATAGAGGTTTTTTAATCATAAATCAAAATTACTTTGCATTTTGGATAGTGAACATTTGAAAAGAAAAATTGCACGAGCAAATCTTTAATTTAAAAAATCTTGAAACTTAATTAAAAATTGATATTTTGTGTATGAAAGCCTAGTAATGTTTACTGATAATCTGAAAAATTTTGTAAAGATATGCACAAATTATAAAAAAGTTACAATTTGACTGCTCTCATGGTTACTTGGGTGGTTACGAGCTGGGTGGATTCCACACAGTCTGTAGTCACAGAGTTAATGAGTAATTCAAAGATAATAAAGTTAGTTACCAATGTATATCATTTGAGAAAAATAAAAGCATTAAAAATTAAGTTGTGGCAAACCCTGTTGAAACTTGAAAAACATAAGAAGCAGTTTGTAAAACATACTCAATATATGGTATGTCAGAAAGATTATCAAAACACAGACAAAAGAAACAAGAAGTATTTTTATTAGCACTAAATAAACATTATAAAAAATTATGGCGTTCACTGTTGTTGTTCCAAGTCAAAAGCATTACATGCTACAGAAAATAAAATCTGCATAATTTCTGAACAAACTTGAATGAGTAACTACCAATCTAATAAATTCAATTTGAGGCAAACTAGCCACAATTTCCACAGCAAAGAATATGTGACCACCATAAATCCAAAAAAAAAGAACCTAGAAACCTGAAATTTTGTATCCGTACAAAGCGGACCCTGAGGGTGCACACCTGAGTATTATTACTGATCTATCTTTTTTATGAGGCAAGCTAGTGGAAAACCACATAGAAAAGAAATGTGATTGCCATAGCTCCAAAAGAAAAGAACCTAGAAACCCAAACTTTTGCACCCATTCTATGTGGACCCTGAGGGTTTGCATCTGGTTGTTACTTATCCACGTGCATGCACACATGCACATCTTTTTAATGAGGCAAGTTAGCAAAAAATCACATAGAAAAGAAGTGATTCCTTACATTACAAAATACTAAGTGGTTCTGGGTATTATTACTAATCCACGCCTTTTTAATGAGGCAAGCTATTGAAAAAACACATAGAAAAAGAAGTGTTTTTATGTTGCTGGGGAAATAAAAACATTTAAAATTTTTTTGACTGTTCTTCTATGCTAAAATAGGTTTAAAATGCACACACTGACATTGTCATCTAGAATATATCGACCTAATAACCCAGGTACTTTCATTAGTATAAAATAAAACAACCCTAACAAACAAAACATCTCTTTTTCTACTGTTTTAGAGAAACTCATTCCAGATTGTAAAATAAATGATCATTTCACACCCTTTGCATGAATTTAGCCACAACTACAATGTTGGGCTATGAGGTAAATAGTTTTTGTTTCCAAAAAATAATTATCAAATTCTGAAGTTGGCAAGTTTTCTTCTAATTTCTAATACATTTGCTGCATAATTTATGACTTATCCCTATTGTCCAACTTTAGTTATCTTGATATGGCAATTATTTTTCAGAAATTCACTATAACTTAGTCACTTTTCTTTTACTGTTCTTTTTTTTTGAAAAATATCAAGTTATTGTTACAATTAATAAGCTACTTGGTCAATCCAATGTTCTTTTTTTTTTAGAACTGAGTGCATCAAAAACAGAAGTAGCTTTAACATTTGATTATTTTTCTATGAGACTAACATGAAATTTTTGCAATACTTCTTTTGGCTGTAAATATTTAAAAATGATCTCAAAAAGACATATTCATAAAATAACTAAGAGACAATGCACTAAACCAAGCCTAAATTAAAATTATGAGACTCACAATGTTACACTACTATACACTTATGGTTATCTTACTTAACTGCTGAGAATTATTTTGCATGAGTCCTCACCTTTAGGAGAAGAATCTTTTAAAGTAAGCTCATCATGGCCTGGTTCTTGCACTTGTATTTGAAAATCTGGTTTTCCATTAAAGTCAAGGATGCTGCACACATAGCGACAGCGCTTTCCAAGTCTTCGAATACTCCAGTACATCCTCACAATCTTGTATCCCACCTATATATATATATATATAAATCACTTACATCTAAGTACATCTCTTTAACAATAAGTAGCCTTTCAATTCTATTTACAGCATACTACATGATAAATTACAAGGATTTTCATTAAATAAAAAAGCTATTTTTCTTTACATCATCAGTCACTTGGAAAAAATTCTCTACAAAAGCCAACTTGTACTAAGTTTTAAAAGACAAACCACTAAATGAAAATTCCCTATGATTATATTAATTTTTAAAATATATTTCACAGTCCAACTGATTTTGATATTAAAAAAAAGTATCATTAATATTTGTGTTATAAAAGGAGAAGTAAAAAAGTCAGAATGAAGATAAAAAAAGGAAAACTGTATAAAAGAACTTGTTTATCCAGATTCAAAAGAGACTATCTTTATCCTGTCATAAATGGAAGCTTGTATTTTAGAGATATCTAAAAGCTCATCTAAAACTTTCCTGTAACAATTTTATTTTTTGTGTGTACTTCAGTCTCAGTATTCTAGAATGAATAAACAAACATCACCAACATCAACCTACAGGATAAATAGAAGTTGGGCTGTGGAAAGCTTGAAGCTGGTGAGGCAAAAGCTGACCAATGTTCAAGAAAATGAGACTGCCAATACGAATGAGGTGTTTGTCGCCTTGGTGAATCATGCTAAAATGCAAAAAACAACAAACCAAGAAGCAAAATTCTATCACAGACTACAAGTCTTACTTGAATATTCATGAAATATATGATTACATATACACTTTGTACCAATATTTCACATTGTGAATTGGATCGAACATAAAAACAAACATTTTATAAAAGCAGAAGCTGCAAAATGATAATAGTCTGACATTAATACATTGTTTACTCATCAACAAAACATACTATTAAGCAACAGAATCAATGTTTCTTTTTTCTGTTATAAACAGAAGGGAGGTAAGGATTAAAAAACACTTCATCAGATCATAAAAAATTGTCTTTACAAATATCAAAACGTATTCTTTTAAAAAACACCAGCCTCTTCATCAAAACACAATACCTTGCAATTTGTTTATGTTCTTCTCTATTAATGTAAACCCTCCTAAAGACAGCCACTGATTCCAATTCACTGTCTAGTGTAGGAACCTTAGGAACATGTTGCGGACAAAGCATGGTCTGTAATAAACAAAATATTATTATTAGGAATTTGTTTGCTAAAAAAATTAATTTTTTAACTGAAAATATTAAGGAGTATGATACCTAATCCAAGTCATGTTTTTTGAGCAATAATATTTTTCTTTTCACAACTTTTCATAGATCTTATGCCTCTTGCATCTGGGCCATTTTTGAAATAATTTTTAAACTCCTTTAATACATTTCATCATATCAATTTATACATTTAGATCAGTGATTACTAATTTAGTTTTGCATTGTAATAACACACACACATATTAAAAAGTAAAACAAGCAATACATAATATGGAATATTTAGCCTAATAATATTAATTAGACACTCCATAAAAGTCTCTACTTTCATATTATTTTTAATTAAGATATTCATCCTTTGGGAAGTTTCCTAATGGTTTTGTGCAGAAGCGACCTATATGATATTAATTTTAAAACATATCTGCCAAGGACCAATATTATTATATTTTTTGTTTTAATACTAAAGTAAACTAAAATTGCTATTAGATAATTTTTTAAAACTATACTACAACTATTTTTCATCCTATATATATAGCTAATGACAATAATTCTTGTGTAGCTGTTTGTTTTGATCATAAGCAAAGTTTTGCTGTATGAGCTACAACTCGGACCATCACTGTTTTTATGTCTAAATTTATATAACGTATACATTTTACTAATAGTAAATCTAAAAACAAAACAAAATAGGTCACTAAACAAAAAATAGTGCAAGCAGAAAAATTTTTAAATTAAATCTTCTCAGCTACAATGAATGATGTAGTTCGTTTAATTTTCTGTTTTTGTGACATTAAAAAAAAAAAGAGTAAAATGATTTCTGTAGCCAATGTAGTGTTCACCTTATCCTTATAAAAAATGCATTTTTCTTCCACTGCACATGGGAAGTGGTAAACATTGGTGCATCTAGGTCTGAAGCAGCGTAAAGAAGCACCAACTTTCTGGCATCGTACACAAGCTGAGACCAAGGCTCTTTTGAAGGCTGTGTCCACGTTGATCAAAGCTCCATTCACTGTTTCATAAACCTCTGCTGACCAAAGAGCACAGTTCAAATGGACCCACTTATTGACATCTGCATTCAATAATCTGAAAAAAGTATTAATAATAATGGCATATAATACTTACACTTAATGAACGTTTATTCCATAATAAAATCTTTCACAATACTTGTTTGTTTGCTGTTAAGCAAAAAGCTACATAATGAGCTATCTGTGTTGTACCCATCTAGGATATTGAAATCCAGTTTTTGTCATTATAAGCATTTAAATGTATCCATCAGCCACTGGGGTGATATTTAGGTGTAACATATATTTAGTGTTTCTACTTTAACTAAAAAACAGAATAAAAAATTGCACCACCTAAAGTTATTACATTTGACAACCAGCCATTAATGATTATTACTTACACTCCATTTTACAGGGCTGGAATTGAAAATTGTAAATAAAAGCAGTTTGTCCAACAAATAATCACCGTATTTTTAGACAAATCAACAAAAATAAAAAGATAATTATACACCATCTCTATAATACTTCTGTAATGATGAATCCAACAAATGCCCACATTTCTCTTGTGTGGTAAATGTACTATTTTTTCACTGCTAATCACCACATACAGCAATATACTATGTGTGGTTTCTAAACAATTGTCAAGACTTTTAACTCTTTCAGGATGGGTCACGGGTCAAAGGCCATGTCATTGCATTTGTTGACTCACATTCAACATTTTATTGAACCACTATTTTATGAATTTATGTCAATAAGTTTCATATCAAACTGCAGATTATAATTCAAATTTTCATATTATACATTATCTAATTTCTTAATTTAAAAGTAAATATTAAAAAACACACCTAAAGATCAATTTTTGTGTGCAGCACTGGTTCAAATTAGATGTTTGTGATGTCAAAATATGAAGCCTATAGTTTTGTACAAATTAGTAACTCCAATTACCAATATTGACAAGCTAGAATATAAAATAAGAACATCCTATCTTTTCTATTTGCTGAGATATTACTCATATACTGAATCAAACACACTGGCCTGGCTCACCTCTTTCCATTTTTAAAAACAGTCCCATATATACACTTACTTCTATATATATATATATAACGTGAATAACCTATCAAAAGTTCAGAATGTCCCCCTAGTAGCTTTCTCAGCCATTTTAAAATATAACAGCATCATCTCTTTCTTTACAGAAAAACCTTGGAATTGGTAAGTTGAATCATATTTTTTTAGACCCAAATACAGCTTAGTTACTAAGTTTGATAAATTATAATGGAACTCTATGGTATCAATATAGTAATTTATGATTTTTTGGTTATTCAACTGTATATATAAAACCTAAAAAAAATTATTTCGCCTCACATCCTCCATGTGCGAAATTTCTTAAGGCTCAACAAGCTACGACAAGCAGCAACTGAGTACAAAGGTCGTAACTAGAAGAGATAACTGTTTGTAAATAGTAATAATCTCTCTCTCTCTCTATATATATATAATGTATAATAATTGAAATGTGACTGTACTTTACAAAATACTAGTCCACTAAAACACAGCCAAGACAGGTCACTTTGTAAAGACTAAAGGTCGGTTTTATATTATTGGATACAGTAACATGAGTGCATGTGCACCGTGTCATTGTAACTTCTGTATTGTTAGCCAGGCATGGCTGAAAGGTCAATATAATAAAAATAATAAATATATAATGTTATGAGATTTAATCTATTTAGTTTAAACATTTATGTTTTCGTGTTATAATTTGAAGTCATTCTAGAACGAAAAAGGCATAATTCATACTTCCTAATTTTTTATGTTGATTATGAGATCGGTCAAATTGACCAAACCCATACAGATATTCGTTAGTGAAAATATTATATAAAATATAAAGTTTTTCTTAAGAAACATTTGATAACTATCTGGACTTTATAGGGAGTTTGCATACGCAATTTGAAAATAAAAGTATTTTTAATCTTAAAATGAAAATTACTTTGCATGTTGAATAGGCAACATGCGAAAAGAAGAAAAGGCATGACACAGATATTGCTTAACAAACCTTAAGATTTCTTTAAAAAATCTGATATTTTGTGTATGAAAGCATTGTAATGTTTACTGATGACCTGCCAAATTTTGTGCACATACGCTTACTAATTTAAAAGTTATAGCATTAAACTATAAGAAGCACAAAATAAGTACAAGGTCAGTCCCACGGACCGAGCCTGTGGTGAAAGAGTTAAAGGAGCTACATTTAAAATTTTCTTAAATTATCAATCTTCATTTTATATCACATGATGCATCTGTGCTCGGAATTCTCCTTTTTATAAATCTATATCTTTAATAATAGGCTGATACCATTTTCAGTTGTAAACACAAACTACAGATAATTACAAGCATAAATCTAGACTTTGAACTTCCTTTTTCATTTGCCGAGATACCAATAAATTTGTTAAGCTGACCAGTGAAACCATTCCTCATTCTAGTCTTTTTATACTTTTTGCTAATATTCCTTACTAGGCTAATGGACATATTCACAACCAATAAAATGAGCCCTTTCTCTCAGAAGGGCATCATTTAGATTTTCGCAAAAATCATTAGTTAGCCAAAGTCTTTTGTTTTGGTAATCACAATTCTTTATTCCAAGCACTTACAGAATCTTTTTAACCTATTTATAGTTTACTTATTTCTTTTTTTATATTTCTTATCTATTATTACACAGTTTTAACAAAAGAAACTGTAATGTAAAAATTATAAATTATAATTAAATTAAAACACCCAAAATTACACGAGCACACTGTGTGATCACAGATGTGCACGAAATTTGACACCAGTTCATACCTAGTCATGAGCTGTTACATAAGCTTCTTACCACAAAACATGTTGCTGTGATTTATTACTTTTCAAACACACAGTTGGTACAAAGAGCAGCAACAAAACAATAAAGCTAAAATATAGTTATATGTGAAAAAATTAACAGTTAAAAGTGTGATAAAAATTAAATAGAAAATCTAGCAACAAATGATGGATTCAATCATGAAAAGGTGTTATCCATTTATTTTATATTTTTCAACTTTTCATTTCATTGTACATTGATGATTTCATTACAGTTAGTGTTAGGGGCAGAGAAAATAGAGATATAAAGTGTAAAGTTTTACCAAAATAACAAAACAAAAAAAATTTTGATGTTCATTTAGAGATTCTACAGGTTGTACAAATGAAATATGAAAACTGTAAGATGAAAAGAAGCATTTTAATTCATAACAAGAAAAATAACCTTTTACTCAAAACTTATAATGTTTACTAAAAGCTTGTGAAACTATACTTAGTAAATTCAAAATTATAGATGTATAATTTCTCAGTTTTAAGGTTTTAAGCTACAATAGAAAAATAATAAAAGCCATGTACATCCCATGCAGTTTTTTCCAGAAGGAAGTTTTCTAACACTTATAGAAAAGTACTATTGGCCAATACTAAATACAACCTCTACATAAAATGACAGTTACTATAATAAGCATCACCCACATTCATATTGTAAAATCCAGAGAACAATGTTCGTCACATGTTTTCCTTATCATCCTATGATTTGTTAAACGTGAGATACAGCAATTGGAATAACATGGCACTGAAATTGACACCTTCAACTAGGATTTTACAACTGAGGTTTAACATGCCCAGAAGCT